ATAGTTGTAGTTAAAACATCGATGTTGTAGGGAGTTGTGTTTAAAACATCGATGTTGTAGGGAGTTGTGTTTAAAACATCGATGTTGTAGGGAGTTGTGTTTAAAACGTCGATGTTGTAGGGAGTTGTGTTTAAAACGTCGATGTTGTAGATAGTTGTAGCTATATCAAAAGGTGTTAAAATGTCGATGTTATTGGTAGATATGGCTAAAACGTCGATGTTGTAGGGAGTTGTAGCTATATCAAAAGGTGTTAAAATGTCGATGTTAGTGGTAGATATGGCTAAAACGTCGATGTTGTAGATAGTTGTAGTTAAAACATCGATGTTGTAGGGAGTTGTAGCTATATCAAAAGGTGTTAAAATGTCGATGTTATTGGTAGATATGGCTAAAACGTCGATGTTGTAGATAGTTGTAGTTATATCAAAAGGTGTTAAAATGTCGATGATATTGGTAGATATGGCTAAAACGTCAATGTTGTAGATAGTTGTAGTTAAAACATGTGGTTTGTTTAAAACTAGGAATGTTTAACTGTTTATTGTATCAATATTGAGATTAAATGTCAAAACTTGTATATCAAGTAGAATACCTTAAAACTAATATTTTAGATATGATATTTAACGGTAGGATCGTGCGATACGGTCTTTTACTCGTTCTAACTAAACTTACAGAATTTGTTATTCCCAATACAGACAGTTATTGAAATCCATCAAATTTCGTCAAATATCTCGCTAAATTCCATACACTGATCATATAGACGGATATTTCATTAAAACATTATGTACAGGAGTACAAGTTTGAAGAGAGGAGGGGAAAAAAAAGGAGACTTTGCCAACTGTTAAGTAGAGCCCAAGTACCAGATGCGCATCATTGCACGTGACTTAGACACTTCAGTAATTGAGAGACTTACCGAAGCTTTGTTACCAACGTTACCAGTTGTTAGTTTTATCATAAGTAATATTACAGTTTCTTACGAAGTTCTGCAGTAGAATCTGATCTTACGACGACCCCTTCATCGTTATTTCTGAATAATTAAATAATCTAAATAAAAGCTCAAATAACGGAAACAACAGAATAAATTGAAGATGTTTTATTTTCAAATATTTCTTCTTTACTACTGTAAATAACAAGACGGAATAACGGAAATAACAAGACGATGCGTGTCATTTGAAGCTTCTCTTTCCAGAATATTCTCAAACCAATTTAACAACTTCACCTCGTTTCTGAGAGCAGACGAACACGAGAACTTATAGTGAATCTCCTAAGACAAAAACTGATGTATAATTAGTCCTAACTAAGCAGAGCATCTTAGGGATTTTAACTGGTATATGCAAGAATGTTGTAGCTAAAGTAATCGGCTTGTTTCTACCAGTGCTCAAACGCCTCCAAAAAAAATGGATAGTTTACTACCATATAAAAAAAATGCGACTTTAACTTACTGGTACAAAAACCTCTTTTACTTCTAACAGAATTGATCTCAGGTTTCTGTTTCTATAGCTTGATTAAATTTCACGATGTACCTAAAAGATAAACTAAATAATATGACATTATTGTAGTAACACGTAAAATACTAACCTCTTCAACTCATAAATAAAAGTTATCGTGGATACGCAACAACCTCAAATACAAAGTGAATCTCGTTATCACACACAAGACAATAACACTTCAATGAATATTATTTCATTTCATTATATATCAAATGTATATATATATTAACATGAAACTTTCTAAACATGAATATACTTTTATCTATAATAAGCACATATTATATATATAATGTTTCTTAAACAATGTTGACACTTTGTTTAATCTACAATACGCACATATTGTCTATATGGTGATTCTTAAACAATGTTGACACTTTGTTTAATCTACACTACGCACATATTGTCTATGTGGTGTTTCTTAAACAATGTTGACACTTTGTTTAATCTACACTACGCACATATTGTCTATATGATGTGTCTTAAACAATGTTGACACTTTGTTTAATCTACACTACGCACATATTGTCTATATG